ATCTGACTGTGTTTCTTAGCTGTGTAGATCAGTGGTAGAATACTGTGCAATATATGTGACCTTCCATGCAATGGATAGTGTAGGATTTGAGGGAAGAAAGCTAACGCTTCGTGATGATAGTTGTTTAAGTGGTGCAATCTTATAGACCGGTATGTAATACCTAGACTACACAATTACCAGTCTCACAAAACTTGTGCCGCAACATGGTGTATATGAATGGAGAGATTGGAAAATACTATACAATATACTGGACCTTCAAAGCAATTGGGTTTGGAGAATCAAGTTAAATCGTGGCTGAAGATGGAAGACCTTTTATAGTGACAATATATATGATGGTTTCGCACAGTGATATGTCTCATATAATATGGAATGTTTTCTGCTGTTATTAATTATGTTCTGTATTGGAAAGAGGATAACTCTCTCCACTGTTAATCCACTTTATATGAATCGTAGCGATAATATGGACTTAGTAAAAGTATACTGGAACATATCCATATTCTCGCAAGTGTTACATATCATGAAAAATCGGAGGTTTTTGTGCTTGTGCCATGTTTTTGTTATTACTCATGGAAGCAGTATGACATATCTACATTATACTTAAATTTTAACATTACCACGTTTGCTGAATTACAGCAAATGTCGAAAGTTTATTAATCTATAACATATAAAATCGAACAAGTAAATGGCAGTGTCTTAAATGGTCAATTTCTCCCACAAATAAGCCTCTTTTCCTATTTTTGCACAGCATACGAGAGACACGTTGTATTGCTGATATTACTGCTAATTTACAGTAAAAAATACCTTAAAAGTAGCCAGAAAAAGGGGTTTGAATGATTGAATACAGTTGAATGTAAGGCCCAATCCGTGGCTACCTTCACAGTGGTTTTGAAAATGGCAGGACTGAAATAATACAGGGTGTCCCCAAAAAAGTGACACTATAGAAATTATCCTATTGTTATAATTTGTTCCCACAGGTGCATAAACTTCTGCTTCTTGAATTTAAAATAAAAAAGCAAACCGTTTATTAGTGCCACCGTTTTGCTTGACTCTGGTGTTAAAATATTTGGACAAAGCGAAAACGTTTTAAAATGCTCAAATGTAAATACAAGTTCATTAAATTCCCAGGCGTGTAATCACACATGTTTAAGAGCGGATTAAGAACAATGAGATAAGTTCTATAGTGTCACTTTTTTGGGGGACACCCTGTACAAGTCACGTGTAAATCAATGTAGAGTCACAGATGAGGTAAGTACAGATATGAATCTCACGTCAAATTGCCGATTGTTTTGTGTCACACGGAATTCTCACTTCCGGCGAGCGCTGGCAAGTGTCGTTAGGAAATTTAATAAGGGAAGAGATAGGAAAACACCGTTCGAAAGACGAAAAATTATTTTTTTAAAAAGTCTACGCTACCGACGGCTATTTTTGGAATTAATTCTTCAAGAGTAACGGTAAGTGATCACTTTTATTTATTTATTTTTATTAAAAGTGTTAATATAATATTTTATTTAGCAAAAGTTTGTTTTTTCCCTATCTACTTCTTATTAAAATCGTGAAATACACTTGCTGGGAATTTCAGATGCTCGTGTTTAAATAACAAAACAGCGAATGATATATAAATGCCTCAAAACGTAACTCTCGCATAAAAAAACATGAATACTTCTATAATATGTATAGTTTTATTCCTCTGCATTATCAGAATTTAATAAAATAGTGAATTAATACAATTTTAAAGTTTATTTAATCCATGTGACATAATTTGCGGTGAGATTCATATCTGTACTTACCTCATCTGTGGTAGAGCTGCAGTTGCTAGGTAACAAGACATGGCAAGCTGTAAAATTGCGTAAATATAACAGAATGCGAAAAGTACGTTTTAAAAAATAATAATGAAAAAGACAAGAAAATGAGACAAAATAAATAAATGATCAATTTTTAAAGCTTCAAGATAAATAAAGCAATGTTTTAGTATATAAATTTGGGGAAATTTGTAGTCCTGCTGGGCAGGACCGCTTAGCTATGCCACTGATTATTTTACAGTGTTCTTCAAAATCTCTTGGTTTCAGATGCACGTAGAAGAATTCACAAAACTCCTGAATACAAGCTAAAATGTGGAGTTAATGTATTGGCATTACTTCTTAGTGTTTGCAACCGGAAATTCAACAATGATATTCAGCTTCTATTTGGTTGTGCATTTGATGTGGAGCTGGAAAACAGTTAACATGTTGAATACAATTGGATTGAGTTCACATTGGGATACAATGTATGTAAAGACCTTTTGCCTTTGTGTATAGACTTTTTGCTTCTGTTTTTGGTAAAAGTACCCCATATTAGTTGGCAATATGCCTAGGTGGGTCAACTTTAGTGTAATTATTCTGTTTAATGACACACAATAAATACTTCTCAGTTGTAAGGTATACTGCCAGTTAATGGGTTAACAAAATTATCTTCCAGTGTCTATTGATAACCCACATGGGTTAACAAAATTATCTTCCAGTGTCTATTGATAACCCACTAATGGACAATTACCCCAGATGCACACTCTTTAGTATTTTACTCTGTCTAATGCCAGACAATTTTACTTGTCAGTGGAATAGATCCAAAAATGTAACTGTTCCTAGCTGCTGATTTTTCTAGTTTTAGCAGTTGTACAGGGTGTCTAAAAAAACGCTATGGAAATTCAACAAGCTGTTGTGCATCACAAACTTAACTAAACAGTTCAATTTTTACATAGGACGACAACAGAGCTGTTATTTAGCCTTTCTATGATACCGTTCTTAAACCGTAACGATGAGAAATGGCCACATACTCGTCAAATAAAAATTGTTGGTCGAAATCACATTCTTCCACTGCTGGGAATTGAAAATACATTAACTATGCAAAGTCAATCCAAAAGCAATGCGAGCCTTCTGCAAGGTACTTGTTTCGTAAAACGTTTTGGAGAGTTGAGCTTATTTTAGATAATTTAACATTCAATTTTAATTCCCTCTTGGGAATTGTTTATTGTTTGTTTTCGACCAGAAATTTTGATTTGGCGAGTATGTGGCCATTTCTCATCGTTATGATTTAAAAAGAGTATCATTGAAAAGCTAAATAACTGTTCTTTTGTCCTATGTAAAAATTGAATTGTTTAGCCATGTTTATGATGCACGACAGCCTGTTGAATTTCCATAGCGTTTTTTTAGACCCCTTTTAATCCTGGAAATTTGAACCATGAAATTTACATACTTCATTACTTTTACATTTTATTAGATTTCTTATGTAATTTCCATATAGCCAAAATAATAATATGCATACAGCTGTAGACATAGGAAACAATTAGGCTGATTTGTTATTTTTTTCCGATTTTGTTAGAAAACAATGGCAGTTTTGATTTGTTCAGAACACCCTCCATCCGAGCCAGAAATTAACACCACAGAAAAATCGTTGGGAAGCAGCTAAAGGAACATTTAAATTTTTTTTGAATATTTAGACCCTGAGAAAACCCCAAAATGCAACTAAAATTTTGTATTCTTAGCTTGGATTGACTTTTGACTTCCATGTTTACCTGTTATTGCTCTTATAATTCACCTGAACATCATCAGCTCAAGTCGACTTTAAATTTACCTGAGTTGATACAGGCAAGGTACGCAATATGCGTGAATATGCCTGAGTAGATACAGGCAAGATAGGCAATATAACAAGCATGGTAATAATAATAATAATAGACTTTATTTAAAGAAGGTATTACAAAAACCAGTTTAGCAAAGCTAATCTTACACTGGGCCTTCTATAACTACGACTATTAACAAACAAACAAATATATTAGGTAACGTGAGGAAAAAGATATATGGTATATATACAATAGATTATAGATTACATATGACTACGTTTAAACTGTTTTTAAAAAGTATTGATATGTTCTTATTTTGAATGATGCAACCGAAGAAGAGTTTCTTATCTCAAGTGGTAAACTATTGTAAAGTGTTGCACCACTGCATGGTAGTGCCTTTCGTCTGATTGCCAATTTATTTCTTGGTACCCACAAATCATTGTCCGCAGAACTTCTGGTGACTCGATTAGTCACTGATGACTTCAGTTGAAATAAGTCACAAATGTATTCCGATACCGATTGGTTTCGAGCCTTGAATACCATAATCGCGGTTCGTAGCTTGACTCTTTGATGTATAGGTAATATTTTAGCTGCTTTAAATAGTGGTCCAGATGATGTTAGTCTTGGTTGATCATAAACAATTCTCATTGCCAATTTTTGAATTTGTGTATTCTTGTTACGTCAGTCGATTGACCCCAAACTGTCGAACAATAGTCGATGTGAGGTTGTAAAAAGCATTTATAGTAGAGAACTCTGTAACATATTGGCAAATATTCCTTTATTTGTCTTAACAGATGTATTCCCTTATTTAGCGACCTTGCTACTTTATCAATCTGTAGTTTCCAACATAAGTTGTTATTGACAATAACTCCAAGCAATTTTTCATTCTCAGTGTTTGTTAGCTTCATTCCATTAAACTGAACATGTAGATTTGAATTTAACGTAGCCGCACGCTGGTAAGTTGTCATAACCATTGCTTTAGTTTTACTGTTATTAATTACCATGTTGTTATTGGTACACCACGTATGAACATTAGACATATCATGAGTTAGTTTAACATTTAGTTCTTCAATTGTTTTAGAACTAGAATATATTGTTGAGTCGTCAGCATACATATCTGTGTTGGAATTGACATATAATGGAAGATCATTGATAAATGCAATAAATAATAGTGGACCCAAAATACTTCCTTGTGGCACACCTTGGAGGCTAGGCATTGAAGATGACAAATTACCTTTGAATTGCACGCATTGTTCTCTACATTGCAAGTATGACTTAAACCACGACAATGTCGAAAAATCACATTTATAAATAGTAAGTGTTGTGAACAGTGACGTAATGTATATTTATTTATGTAATATATTCAGATTAGCCATTCTTAATTATGCTAAGACGCGGGAAATAATACATGTGTTATAAGGTTTGTAATAGCGACTTGAAACTATATCGGACACGCTAGATATATCGGACGAATTATTTGTTGTTTAAAGAGGATTGTTCAAAGACTCGTCAAGAAGTAAGTTACTGAGAAAGAAACACGTATGTACCATTTATACTTTACTTACATTAGTTTTATATCTTTATACTTTTAGATCGAATAAAAATTATTGACATATTTAATATGTTCAATTGACTATACGATTCGCGGGTCTTTGTCGGTAATATATTGAGTTCTGTCGAACCCAACGGACCATAAATTCGAAGATTATATTTTGAAATCAAAACAGGAACAGGTCACCCAAGACACGTGCGCGGAAAATGATATAGCTAAGAAAACACAGGAAACCCAAGAAAATAACGGAGAAAATACCAACACAGCTATTATAGAGAATCAAATACCAGAACAAAACACACATAGCAATTCTCAAGATGTAGAACTTACCGAAGAAACAGAACAAACAGTTCAGGAATTGACACCCCAACCGGCAGTACAGCAAATGGATAATAATGCAGAGAGTCCAACCAGTAACAAGGAAGTTAAATCATGTGCGTTCAAAGTTGAAAAGCCGAAATTACCGAAGTTCAGTGGAGATGTAAGAGACTATGTAATATTTCGGGGTGATTTCAAGCATGTTGTTGAATCACAGTACAGCGACAGAGATGCAATAACAATACTACGAGCAAGTCTTCAAGGAAAACCACTAGAACTGATTAAGGGCATAGGATGTGATTACAAAGCCGCATGGGAGTATCTCGACTCAATTTATGGAGATCCACGATTCATAGCAGACACAATTACGCAAGACATATCCAAGTTCAAAGCACTTCAGGATGGTGAAGATGCTCGGTTTTGTGAACTGGTCCACCTAGTTAACAGAAGTTACAACACACTTAAAGAAGTCGGTCGCCCCAACGATATGAACAATAATCATATGTTAGCTTTAATCGAGCAAAAAATGTCAAGTGATGATCGCAAGGTTTGGGCACGAGATCTCGAAAGAGAGAAAAAGGAAGCCACACTGGAAAACATTATGAAGTGGATGACAACAGAAATGAAGTCCCGCATGAGAGCATCAGCCCCTCTGCGAAACCAAGGTAGAACAAGATGGAATGTCAACCATGTCGGGCATGAAGAACACGAAAGGCACAAGTGTTGGTTGTGCAAGACCTCAACGCACTGGGTTGACCAATGTTCGAAGCTAGAAGCTATGAGTCCAGAGAACCGAATGAAGATGATCAGAGAAAATCGTGCTTGCTTCTCGTGTTTGAAGAAAACCAGCAAGAATCATAAAGCAGCTACATGCTCACGAAGACGCCAGTGTACAGGCAAAGTAAACGGTCAACAATGCAAGTCATACCACCACCCCCTGCTGCATGACTCCAGCCCACCCAGTCAAGTTGGAGTTGCTTCAGTCAACAATGGCAAAGAAAGTATGCTCCCAGTTATT